GATTAAATTCACATTATAAAAAAGGAAACATATGACTCCTATATAAAATTCCTGTGTGATGCTACTAATGGCCAGTATTGAAAAGTACCTGTCCAACACATTGCTGCTATCCATAGGAATCTAGATAGCCTTCAGTACCTGAATATTTTTAGCAGGGCATAGCAATGTGCATGGTTTGCTCTCAATGTGTGTGGTTTGAGAGGTCAAGCCCTAGGCCCCTGCAGTGTGGGGTGCCTCTGGGCTTGGGACTCTCTCCTCTCCTCTTTAACATCTACATGAAACCCCTGGGTAAGATCATCCAAAGGCATGCGATGCAGTATTATCAGTACGCTGATGATATCCAGCTATACATCTCCACCCCTGGCCAGGCAGGTGATGCAGTTGCAGTGCTGACCAAGTGCCTGGAGGGTCTGGATGGGGAGAAACCAACTTCGATTCAACCCTGGCAAGATGGAGTGGCTTTGGGGTTTCAGCCCCCCAGGGTCTGATGATTTGTTATCTTTGACTCTGGACAGGGTTGCGCTTCCCCAGACTGAGATGATGCATAATTTGGGGGTCCTCCTGGACTCACAGCTCCTGCTTGAGGAGCAGATGGCAGCTGTGGCTAGGGGGCTTTTGCACAGATTTGCCTTGTGTGCCAGTTGTGCCCTTTCCTGGACTAGGAGGCCTTGCTTATGGTCACACATGCCTTAGTCACTCCTGGTTTAGATTACTGTAATGCACTTTACATGGGGCTGCCCTTAAAGGCCACTCAGAAGCTACAACTGCTCCAGAACTCAGTGGTGCACGCACAGTGTTCCTAGATTTGCCCACATTACACCTCTGTCGTGCGAGCTGCACTGGTTCCCAGTTTTCTTCTGGGTGCAATTCAAGGTGCTGGTTTATCACCTTTAAAGCCTTACATGATACAAGACCAGGTTATTTGTGGGACCGCCTCACCCTAAGAGGAGTTGCCCGTTCTAAGAGATTGGATAGGGTAGGCATGCTCCAGGTCCCTTCCCTGAATTCTTGCCATCTAGCAAGGCCTCAGAAATGTGCCTTTTCCATGGCTGCCCCTAACTTATGTAACACCCTCCCCCTGATGATTTAGCAGCCCCTCCTCCCACTTTTAGCCTTTCAAAAGGCCATGAAGACCTGGTTTTTACCCAGGCGCGGGGATAGAATGAGGATATCTGGAGCTGGTTGTGGGGCATCCCAAGGGGATGATTGAGGCACTGGGTTTTTGTTTTATTTTGTGGTTTTACATTTTATAGTTATTGGTTTTATTGTTGTAAGCTGCCCAGAGCTGTGTTTAAGATAGGCGGCCATACAAATCTTCTACATAAATAAATAAATCTTCTTCAGTAAGTAAGTCTCAAAGTTTTAAAGCAGGTTGAAATAGAATAGCGTCACTACACAGAGCATGATTGCAGTAGCCCTATGATTCTTCTGGTATTACTAAGAATCCACTGAGAGGTAGGTTGGGATAATCTAGCAGATTTAAGATGAGTGGTGACCAGTTTTCAAGAGAAATACTGTTCTTAAGATACAATTGAATTATCACTGTTGAAGCCAACAACGAAGATGCCTTTAGGTTACATTCAGAATGAATTTCATTAAACTGTCTTGAATCCAAAAATGAATTTAAGCATGCATGATTTGGTTTATTTGAACTGATAAGTTTTTAATAAGTTTTCCATGGCAGCCCCCTACCCTTTGAACCTTCTGAGAAACTGTAAAGAGCTGGTTTTTCCCCAAAGTATTGGGATAGGTTGAAGCTGGAGTTGTGGGTTGCATCAAGAGGTTTTGGGTGTGGTGCCAGGTTTTAGTTGTTTCTGTTTTTATTTTTTGTTGTTAATTTTTTGTATGGTGTTGTTTTCATATTATGATTGTGAACCACCCAGAATTCTGGTTTGAAATGGGGGGGGCATACAAATATATTTAGATTAAATAAATAAGTTGGCATATTAGCACTAGTGATTTGTGGTTCTCTACGTCACTCCAAATACTAAGCAAACAGAGTGTAATTTGCCCTACAGTTAAGTATGAAAACATTTCAAATTCCTAATAGCTCTACTATCTTGTCCCAAAATTCAAACAACAGACATAGTCAAATGAGCGGAAGTAAAAACAAAAACAAAAAAACAAAACAGAAAGTAAAATATTATGTTCTCATAGGCTTAGAGGCTATGTCAGGGTCAGGATCCAGGGCTAGAGAAGTGAAGAGAGTGGAGGATAGTTCTGCCATATTCATTCTGTTATGTGTCCTGGATTTTTAAGAATATGGATATGAAATACAGGTCATTCTCGTTTAACAACCACAATTGGAGTTGGCAACTTGGTTGTTAAGTGAAGCAGTCACTAAGTGAAATCACATGTGTACTTATGATTTTACGTAAGCTTTCCTTTGCTTTACAGAACTGCAAAGGTCGTAAATATGAGGACTGGTTGCAAAGTTACTTTTTTATCACCACTGTAACTGCAAATAGTCACTGTATGAGGCAGTTTCTGAATGAGGACTACCTGTACTGAATTTCACTAATAGGGTGGAAGCAATTGTAAAGTATAGAAGTGCTTTCTAAATGAGTACATTTTCCTATTCATTGACAATTAAGTTGTAAGATGGTGTGTTCATATAGCAGAACTAAATATAAAGAAATCTATGCTAAGTTAACTTTCATTTGAAAGTGGGCTTGAGGTTCTTGGATAGTTCTTAAAATTGTATGCTATGTAATAAAATGGTCACTTTATGCATTGCTTCTCATAGAGGTTTTACAAACAGTAGGGGAGTAAAATGTAAAAAAAAAAAAAGATTAAACATTTGCAAAATCTGCTTTGAAACTAAACTGGAATTTAAATAATAAGGCTTTCTTTTTATTAAAGACTGTAATAGATTTCAAATTTTAGAAAGTATAAGATCTGCCAGGGTTTGGGTGGAGATTGTCAATAATTACTTCCCTACCAGCAAGAGTCATTGTGTAGTCCAGTGCTTACCAGTGGATAAAAGGAATCTTTCCATTGCAGAATACAAAATATAAATTGAGTCCACATTATCTAAAGACAGTTAAACATAAGAAATATATTTCACGCAAACATATTTGGTATACATAATAGAAATGAGATATCTTTAGAATGGTCAGCTACTTGAAATGAAACTAGTTTAACAATAACGTGCATAAAGACAGGTCAAGAATAATTCAAATTTTGATTCATTCCATGTCTGTCTATCTCTTGGTCTATTTATGTATTATTTACACCTTTATTCATTTCCTTTGAGTACCAAATTGGTTAAAACAATTCACCAATATATGAATACCTGCTATTGCTGGGTTTTAGGTTTTAGATTTTTTTTTTATTTACAAGAACATGCTAATCAAAGCAGATTTTTAAACTTATTTGCATATATGTGATACATTTATGCTTATCTCAGCAGATTCATTTCCATGGATTGGTAGGATAATTCTATGTTTTAATAGAAATGATTTGTATAATACAATGATGAGCCAACAGTATGTAGGAATGCTGAATATGTAGAGAGGGACCACTTTTGCTATATGTATTCTACAAGCCAATATTTCTGACTGGAATGAGTTCTAATGAATATGAGTTTTGCAAGATGTAGGCCCTTTAATGATGAAAAAAAATAGGTGGAAGATATGTAGCAATGTTATGCTCTTGTATAAAATCCTCATATATTATACCTATCCAAATCCTGCTACTTAGTAAGGTGATGTAATTTGTTAAATCTAGGGAAAAGAATATGAGGCAAAGAATCCTGTACTATCAACAATATCTCCCTTATGATATCCTGTTTTACAGGAGCAAGCAAACAGGTTACTTATGGCAGTCTCATATATTCAGTGTTGAAATATTTGTTGTGATAACATACCCAGAAGAAATATTTTAAACAGCTAAATTCAGAACAAATAAATATATTTTAATGTGATCATTCAAAGTCAGTGAAATTAACTTGGTTTGGAAATTGAAAACTAAACTTCCACGTGATTTGAAGGCATACCAAATTTTAGAATTTCTTAATTGTCGTCTTTTTGTAGTCACTTTATAGTTATTTGTTTCATTTCAGAGTGGTCTGTTATATAAGTATTTTTTAGCAAAGTTCTACTTTAGAAAAATACAAAGCTTAAGTATTTTGTAAGTATTATGTATGGTATGCATAGGGAGAGAGAGATAATTTACTAAGAATTTAAATAGGACATCAAGAGGAAACATTAAATGTTTTGTTATCTTCAATATGATGAGTGTATGAATAACATTAATATATTAAGTTACAGTATATCTGATCTATAGATGTTTATGATTAATGTTGAGAAATTTCCCAAGAGGAACTGATTTCCGCTAATACAGATTTACTATGATGTACATTCCTGTCATCTTAAAAAAAATTATTTTATCTTATGTTCCCTGTCTTGGCAGTAATATAGAAAGGCAAAATTAGTAATGAATTTAAAAACATTTTTACGTCCTTAATTTGCCCATTAAGGAGCTATTTCCCCTCCTCCAACATTTTAAAGATAAAGTAGTAAATGCATGAGTTGCCCAAGATCTTCCAAAGATGGATGTTCAACCATGATTAGAACCTTGCTTTTTCTTTGTTGGTATTTTCATAGAAATTTAAGGCTATGTCAGTGAATGTTAGGCATCCTAGTTATTCACAATGACAGTAAATATATTAATAGTTGATATATAACTGACGGTGCATAGTTGTTCCCATAATAGTATATCACATGTTACATTAGCACTGTTTTCCTTTTTAGTCATCTTCATATAATTTCTTGTATACTTTCATGCATATGTTTACATTTAAAGTTGTTTGAGCTTACTGAAATCATAAAAAGTAATACAATTATTTACACTGATTGCCAAAATTAATGAGTACTATTGAAACACAACATAATTGTTACTAGGTTCTTTATTTCAGATTGCCTCATTGTACATTTTACATATGCATTTTTAAACATTCACAAATACATCTTCATTGCCATCTTTAATTCTTTCAACAGGTAGAGAGAATTGTTGATAAAAGAAAAAACAAGAAAGGAAAAACGGAATACTTAGTACGATGGAAAGGCTATGAGAGTGAAGATGACACATGGGAACCTGAACAGCACCTTGTAAATTGTGAAGAATATATACACGAATTTAACAGACATCACAATGAAAAACAAAAAGAAAGCACATTAACAAGGACAAACAGGACATCTCCAAATAATGCAAGAAAACAAATTTCTCGATCTACTAATAGTTCTTTTTCAAAGACGTCCAAGTCCTTAGTTATTGGAAAGGACCATGAATCAAAAAATCAATTGTTTGCTGCCCAGAAGTTTCGGAAAAACAACACTCCTCTCTCTGGTAGAAAAAACATGGACCTTTCAAAATCAGGTATCAAAATTCTTGTGCCCAAAAGTCCTATCAAGAGTCGGACAGCAGTGGATGGCTTTCAAAATGAAAGTCCCGATAAGCTGGATCGCATTGAGCAGGATCATGAAGATTCTGTAGCACCAGAAGTGGCAGCAGAAAAACCAGTTGGAGCTTTATTAGGACCTGGAGAAGAACGTGCTAGAATGGGGAGCAGGCCAAGAATACATCCATTAGTGCCACAATTGCCAGTGCCAGTAACAGCTACCATTGCATCTGCATTAACAATAAATGGAAAAGGTAAGATGTCTGGATGGGTAGGTGTTACAGCAAAATTTGTAGATATTCACATGGGTAACTTTTAATGTTTCAGAAATAGTTTGTTTATCTAATTTGTTCCAGGAATGAAATATGCAATATGTGATATGTGATAAACTTAACAGGTTCTCAATTTTTTTTATTGATAAAAACCACAACAAAATTTTGTTAGTTTATTCTTTTCTGAGTGTTACAATTGATTTTTTAAAAAACAGGTTTTGTCATCGTCTTGAATTTACCATCCATTAATTGCTTGAAAATAGCTTAAGATCCGTTTCATGGATTTTAGAAATAATTGATGGAATTCATTGAGATTTTGATGGAAAACTAGTATACCCTGCCATTTTCCATTTTTGGACAAATGCATTTATTTAATTTGTGAATTGTTGCTTAATATATTCCTTGTTGTTTCCATTTTATGGCATATTGTATATATTCAGTTACCCTCCCCCAGGTAGAAAATCACCTTTGCAGAAGTTGGGAGAATATGGGAAGCTTTACAGGAAAGGAAGGGAATAATATCCTGATGCATGAACTAAAATAATCTGACATTGGATGTTGACATCTACACATAATGTGTTTTGAATTTATTATAATTCATTATCAGGTTTTCCCTCCATTCTCTTACCTGTATTTTATAGTTCCATTTCTATCTTTTTTCTATCTTTTTATAAAGTATTTGAAATATTACAGGATAGATGTTGAAGAACTGGAATTGTATATGAAGGCCCTAATTTATTGGGAGGTTTGTATATGTTATACAGTTTTTGATTATGTTTTCTGGATATTATGGGAATTGAATCCAGCACAGTTAGTGGGCACCCAGCTGTGGAAGGCTAGTGGGGAGAGTATTACTTTGCTGCTCCATCGTTCTGTTTTAGCCCTAGCTTTCTCATGAAGGTGTGAATGGAAGTTAAAGTTATTCTCATAAATTTACTTACCAAGGAGTAAGCTCCAATGAGCATAGTAAAACTCACTTCTAAATGAAGTACATAGAATCTTGCTGTAAAGTTTTGAATTAGTTGTTTTTCTAGATTACTTATTTTATTTATTTTTTTAATTCAGGATGATTCTGATGTAATAATGCTAGTTGTAATGAAAGATTTTGTTATAATAAACGCTTGATTTGACAGGGTGTTTTTCAGTTTAAACTATGTTTTTAGAATGAATATGGAAAAGTAGATAGGGCAAAAAAGCATCCTATTGGTACTGTATGTGGAATATTCAGATAAAGCAATACTTTTTGTAGTTGAGACTTGATATTACAATAATTTAACTTCCTTATCCTACAAAAAAGAGAACAGCATTTGCCCATTTTGGCAGAAAGGCAATGCTGTAAAAATATTGGATAGGACAGTGGCTTTGGTCAAGAGAAATATCCTTGCTGGTAAAAAGGAGTGGATGACAGTAATAGACTTGAAATAGAAATTTTACAGCAGTTGGTTCAAAAGATCAACTGAGTTTTCATCATGTTCATCAAATCTACATAGGAAGGTAAAAGCATGGAAATTACTATTTTAGGGAAAATATGTTTAGAGTACCTAACTCTACTATACAGCTGTCATAATCCTAGTCTGGTCATCCTTATTATACTTCTGCAGTTCAATTAGTTAATCTAGATCAATTAATTAATCTAGAATCAATTAAGTTCTAGAATCAGAGTTGCACAAGAGCTTATTTCTAGTTACAGCCACTAATTAGTCACTGAATCCAAATAAAAATGGCCTCTGACATAAAAGTCAGGAGTACTCTGTACATATTTTAAAAAAAGAGTTATTGTAGGTGCAAAGGCCTCTGAGAAAAGAACAACAGCTGCTTCTTGTGGCTTGTCAATTTTGACATTGTACTAAACTATAGGCTAGCATTCCTTAATTATGATTTGGCTTGATAGGACAGTGAAATCATAATGGTTTGCCTAAGGCTATCTCTTAGTTCATACATCAGATATAATTGGAAGTAAACATTTCACACTTCTTGTACCACATTATTAACTGTAACACTTCCAAGTTTCAAAACTTGAAACTGAATTCGGTTATTTTAAATCCTGTCTGTATAAACTCACACATTTTGTGGACTTTGTTGATCTAATTGCAACAATCACTTTTTCAAGATTTTAATTAAAGATTCTGATAAAAAATCTTTTTCAGGAATTACTAGCATGTACAATAAAGTGGATTATTTAAAATTGACAACATCTGCCATCTAGCATTTCATTAGATTTGGAGCAAATTAGATTTTTTAAAAACTGTTTTTAAAGTATTTGCTCAATTACGCTTTTGAAATCTTTTGCAATATCATCGGAAATACTTAATTTGTGAAATATTCTGATTTAATATTATCCCATCTTCTGTTTCGAAAGCCAGCTAGATCATTCTAGTTTAATAAAATTTCCCTAAGAAGAAATGTTGAAAGCATATAAAACCTTAAGGATATTGCTTATTGTGGTGATTCTCTAAACCCTCTTCTGTTATACTTCCTGTGTACCCTGGAGATTCTTCCTACAGTCAAAAATTACAAACAGCTTTGTACAAGTGCTTCTCACCTCACAGAGCCTGTATCCAAAGGAAAATGGTGGCTGAAAAATGAAGAAGTCAGCCCATTGCAATGTTTAGTAAGGTGGTAAAGAAAGAAAAATATGTTCTGCTGGCAAATGTTCTACCCCCTCTACATACTCATGATACTTTCTCTAATGCTGTATGGCATTTGTAGTAGAGGATGTCCTATCTGTCAGTTTTTTAAAAATTCATCTGTACCTCACAGCTCTTTTGGCAAGCATATCCTTTATTCCCAGTCCTGGTCACAAATGAAGGAAAATTATGGTTGCACCTCATATCCATATTTACAAATAAAATCAGTTGGAGATTAATCAGTGATTAGAGTCAGCCTCAGAAAGAGGATTAAAATAAAACAGACAAATTACTCTAAATTTGAAATTTGTCAGGATACCAAGAATATGAACTTCTGATGCATGAGGGCGGGCCAAAATTTTTGTTACACAACAGTGGAATGCTTGTTCCATATTGCTTTATTTTTACTATGGATATTTTAATAATTAGTGTATGATTTTATTGTTGTAAGCCACCATGCTTACCACAGTCCAGCCCTACTTGAGGATGCTGGGAATTGAATTGAGGGTCTTTCTGCATACCATGCATATGCTATATACTGTCTCATATTGACTATAGAGACTCAACTATTTTAGCTGAGGTTAGTTCATTCTTGAAGATGAGTTTCCTACTTTTTGTTCCATGGAAGCAAACTAAGTATAATTCTTTTGTACCTAATGATTTTCCAGACTTTATAGATAAAGAGGAGTTAGTGGTATGTAATTGAAATCCTTATAAGGAGTTAAGACTGCAGTACCTCCAAATATGCTAACATAATTTTGAAAAAATTGACCATAACAGCTTCCTAAAAAATAATTAGCGCCATGATTATAGTATGCTAAAATCTTGCAAACGTTTAATTTCAGCTGTCACAGAAAGGCTGTATGAAAGCAGCCCTAGAATTCTTCCTTGGCTGAGTTGTCTACATTCACAGTTATAATTCAAAGTTAAGTAAGAAGATAATCTTGGTGACCTCTACATTTTTGGAATCTATACTTTTAAAGTATTTGCAGAGCATTTTTTAAAGCATTTCAAGAGCTGATGAATGTTACTGGCCAGAATTATCTTGCTTTTATTTCCTTTAGTAATTTCAGAATTATTGGTGCTGATGCTCTGCAGAGCAGATTAATGATGTTGGGAGTGTCTACAGAGGGAGTGTTGACTGTCATATATATGCAGAAAGAAAAAATTAAGAAAACCTGTTGTGCACATACAGAAGTTGAACTAGCATTCAGGTGACTAGCTACATTGCATTTAATATATTATGCTTCCCTGTAACAGCAATTGAACTCTTCATAGGCAAATGTTGTTTTTATATTATATACTTCATATACAATAATGACAGTAGTCTGTATCTGGTTCATTTGTATTATATTAAAATGTTAACCTTATTTAAGCATTTATTTTTAGTGGGCTTACATAATGGAAATAAAATATTATGCATGCTTATTTTTATCCTTTTTCAAAAGGCATATTCATGTTTCTCTATTTTTAATCTGTCTTAATTAAGCTTGAATGAAATATAGGTTACATAGTTTACAATAATAAGCACGTTTTTTTAAAGGTACTTCTACAGGTAGTCCTTGACTTACGACCTATTTGTTCAGGTACCATTCAGAATTACGACGGCGCTGAAAAAATGATTTACGACCAGTCCTCTAAGTTACAGCTATTGCAGTGCCCCTGCGGTCATATGATCAAAATTCAGGCACTTGGCAGCTTGTCTACATTTACGACCACAGGGGTGCTTCAACTCCCCCCACCCACCTATCTCCCCCCCCTGCCCTTTTTGCTGCCCTGCACCCTGCCTTGCAGGGCAGCCAGCAACCCCAGCACCATACGGCTCTGGGGGTTCTTGTCATTCCCCCGCAAAACACACGTTCCCCCCCCCCCCTTTTTGGCTCCCTTGCCCCCTGCCTTCCGGGGAGCCAGCCAGCCCCAGGACCATGCGGCTCTGGGGCTGCTTGCCATGCCCCAGAAAG